TCCGAGACACCTCCGAGACACTTCCGAGACACTCCTCTAGGCGATGCTCGACCTGGACGAGTCCTTTCGCGCCCACCCGCGAGTGTACCAGCTCCACCTGCACGGCCTCCTCCCCGCCGCCTTCAACTCCACCGTGCCGCGGCTGCTGCGCTGGCTCGGCGCCGCAAACAGCTCGGCGCCGCCCCAGCGCGCCGGCCGCCTCCTCCGCGCCGCGCGGCGCAAGAACGGGCGACGGAACCGGACGCACGACGCGCACATCGACCGGCTCACGCGGATCGGGTACCGCGCCACTTCCGAAGACTCTTCCGAGACTCTTCCGAGACTCTTCCGAGACTCTTCCGAGACACTCCCTAGACACTCCCGAGACTCTCCCGAGACACTCCCGAGACACTTCCGAGACACTTCCGAGACACTTCCGAGACACTTCCGCGCGTCGTCAGGTACCGCGCCACGTTCACCTCGCGGACGGCGCTCGCGATCCGCACCGGCTCCAAGAGCCTGAGCGGGGGCGACAAGCGAGCGCTGGCGGCGTGGAAGGAGGCGGGCGGCACTCCCTTCTTGCGCGAGCTCCTCATGCGGTCCTCCTGGGGCGCCGACCGCTCGCGGCAGCGCCTCTTCGCGCCCGGGCACCGGAAGCTGCACTTCGAGCGCGGGCGGCGCGGGATCCTCACGTGCTCCGCCCCGCGGCTGCTCAACGTACGAGAGAGGGGGGAGATGTGGGGAGATGTGGGGAGATGTGGGGAGATCCTCACCTGCTCCGCCCCGCGGCTGCTCAACGTACGAGAGAGGGGGGAGATGTGGGGAGATGTGGGGAGATGTGGGGAGATCCTCACCTGCTCCGCCCCGCGGCTGCTCAACGTACGAGAGAGGGGGGAGATGTGGGGAGATGTGGGGAGATGTGGGGAGATGTGGGGAGATCCTCACCTGCTCCGCCCCGCGGCTGCTCAACGTACGAGAGAGGGGGGAGATGTGGGGAGATGTGGGGAGATGTGGGGAGATCC